AATTTGTTTGTGCAGAAGATATTGTCATCCTTACAAATATTCCTAGACTAAAATAAAAAGTCTTCGGAGTCTTCTCTTCACTTAAAAAATCTGCGTAGGGGTGGTCGTCGATTTATATCGCCGTAAACTTCTTGATACCCTTCTTTGCGTTTTCTCGATATGAAAAATAAATTTTCGATAAGCTGGAAATTAATCATCCTGTTTGTCATTCATCAAAACAAAAATATTCTAGAAGAAATAGAAAAGGGGTTTGAACTCATGTCCAACAATTTCCCCCTTTTTGATAATGACAAACATAGTTGAGAAAGAGCAAAGTAAGAGTTCAGAAATTACTTCCTTTTAAGAAAAATTCCCCCTGCAAAGTTAGAGAAGTGCAGTAAAAATAATCATCGGAGTAATAAGCGAAAGAAAAAAAAATTTCTCAACTATCCTTCCTTCCCCCTTTTGGCATTATCAACCGATAACCTTTCCCCTTAAACAATGCCGGGAAAAAGATGGTAAGAGTTTTCTTTAAAAGAGAATTTGTAAAAAAAATGCCACAAAGGGACAATATGTTCTAAATAAGAACAATATTGCCAAACCAACAATGATATTAAGCAGTTAATATCAACTAGCATTATTGAAAGGAAACATCATCATCATAACAAATAACAATGTATCATAATCAGTCAAGAGGGAAAGAAAATAACAATCAAAGAGAGTTCGCCGGACGAGCTCCTCCGCCAAAGCTGTGACGCGGGCCACGGTAGGAGCAAGATTGCTCACGACGAGTCATCTTCTCGTTGAGCTGGCGAACGTCATCTCGAATGCATGTGAGAGTATCGAAGATCTTCTTCACCCAAGAAGGTTCCGGTGCTTCTTCTCTTGGACGAGTCCTCCGTTGACGAGTGACGCGCTCCGTGGCTCGACGTCCTCCGGCTTGAGATGACTCAGCTTGAGTCTCGTTTTGGCTCTCTTCTTCTTCTTCGGCGACTATCCGGTCCAGATTAGGTGCAGCATCGCCCTCCTTTCGATACACGATCCGGGAAAACTTGGCTTCAGTGATGAAACAAGTCTTCTTGACCGGCACCTGAGTGTCCCGAGTGAAGTCTATTTTGCAATGAGCAAGGATATGCATAATGGGGATGGCAAAACGGAGATGGGAAAAACGAGTTACATCGCTAAGTGCAACGATAAAGAAGTGAACCCAATCAAATTTGACATCGTTCAACAGGACGTGAAACAAACGAATATCGTCCTTGTTGACAACGCCATGGTTCGAATCACGGGGCAACAAAACATATGAGAAGATGTATTGTTGGACGCGTTGAATTAAAGTGAGATTAATGACACTCGGGTTGCTAGAGTTTCTAAACTTGAGGTCACAATGATCTAACCCGAGTTGTCGCCAAATTGCCTCATCTTGGAATGTTTCATCCAAGTTTTCGGTAATTTCACCGCGACAAAGGCCAAACAAGGAAGTCAAACCGGCACCGTCAATGAAAACGGTTTTGCCGTAAACATAGGAAATGCGAGATGGCGAACCTCCCTTAGTGGTACGAAGATTTGCATAAAATTGACGTATAAGATTTGGACAGAAAAATTCATACGCCAAATGAATGAAACGAAGCAAACCTTGCTGAAGAAACGTAGACTTACTCGGGGCATAGGTCGCCGATTTGAAGAGGTCCTTGTTCACGATCTTGGGAGAGACGATCTCCTTCGTGAGGAAGATGTTGTGGAACCTCTCGACTGAAGCTCCAGTGTTGAAGGCGAGACCCGTTTGAATGTGAATATACTTGCTCCCTTCACGACGCCATGGCCTCTCATTCTCCTCTGCCGCGGTTTCTTGACCCGAGGAAGCGTTCTTGCACCTTGGCATTCTTCCTTTTTGTAATTGATGAAATTTGGTAAAAAAAATGGAACCAATTTGAGAAATTTCTGATGAAGTTTGAGCAAGGGTTTGAGCTAGGGTTTCGCACCGTCTCTGTAAAACTGAGATGGCGATGAAGACGAAGGCACTGGCGGATTATAAAGAGGAGAAAAAATCGAATATTAATCGATTAAATAAAGGTATTTAATCGATTAAGGAACACAGCCGAGCAAAAATCGATTAAATGAAGAATTTTAATAGATTAAAATTTGAGACCAAACGTTTGCGTTTCAAGCTGTTAATCGATTAAGAAAACGTGATTAATCGATTACGATGGACAGATGAGTCTAATCGATTAATGTAACCAAATTAATCGATTAAAGTGACGCAGAGCAAAAAGTTTCAGATTTTAATCAATTAACAAAAGTCAAGTAATCCATTAAGAGGGACAGAGGCGACTAATCGATTTCTCTTCGAGGAGTAATTGATTAAAATTTGTTTGACAAAAAAAATATCAAGTCCAATTAGGTTGAATACCAAGGGAAGAGATACCTACAATAAAAGCCCTGCAAACAAGAATTTATCGCGCCTCCGACGCTCAAATTAGTATAGTCAATAAAAAGAATGAATTAGTTCATAGAGATATCTAAAATTCCAAGTTCGTTCCGAATGTGGAAGAAACTCTCCCTACTAAGGGGTTTCGTGAAAATGTCTGCCAATTGATGTTTCGTTTCAACAAACTCAATTGTGACATCTCCCTTTTGGACGTGATCTCGTATAAAGTGATGCCTAATTTCTATGTGCTTAGTCCTCGAGTGAAGAACGGGGTTCTTCGTTAGACTGATAGCGCTCATATTGTCACACCTAATAGGGATGTGATCAAGTATAAGGCCGAAATCCACTAGTTGTTGTTTTAGCCAAAGAATTTGGGCACAACAGCTTCCCGCAGCGACATATTCCGCTTCGGTGGTGGAAAGTGCAACACTAACCTGCTTCTTACTAAACCACGAGATTAGAGAATGACCGAATAAGTGGCAAGTACCGCTGGTACTTTTCCTATCGAGTTTGCAACCTGCAAAATCCGAGTCGGAATAGCCAACAAGATGACATGTTGAACCTTTGGGATACCAAAGACCTACATTCAACGTGCCCGCGAGATATCGCATTATCCTTTTGATCGCAACCAAGTGCGACTCTTTAGGACATGATTGATACCTAGCGCATATACAAACGGAGTACATGATATCCGGTCTACTCGCGGTAAGATAAAGTAAAGAGCCGATCATACCTCGGTAGCGCTTGATGTCAACATCTTTACCTTTTTCGTCCTTGTCGAGATAGCAAGAGGTGCTCATTGGTGTGTCAATGGATTTGGATTCGGTAACATCGAA